CTGCTTTAAACCTCAGAGTATATCTGCTTCTCAAAATGGTTCTGAGGATTAAATAATACATAACACCAAATATTACTACCTATATATTTTTATTTTAATATTCATTAAATATATTTTCATTGTTGTTCAAATACAGTTGTCTCCATTTTTCTGCCACCACTTTCCCCTCCCCACCCACCCCTACTTCCCACCCTCAATCCTTCCCTGCTTTGGCTTTGTCCCTGGGTCCTTTTTACGTATTCCTTGATGAATACCCTTTATATTTTGCTTAACTCTACTGTGTCTTTCACACAGATCTCTGTTAGTTGACTGACTCTTTAACTGTAAGTACCATTAACAAGCTTATGATCCAGCATAAATTTATTTAACTTAGCCTCATGCCTGGAACATAGTATGTGTATTTGTTGCTGAGATGCCTGCTGCTGCTGCCGATACTATTATTATTATGACCTTCTTCATCAGTTTGTAGTTTTAACACCCATCTCAGGGCTGTGCATGAGAAACACTGAGTGACTGGATGGTTACTGTGAATACTTCGGGCTTTAGTTTCCAGCATGCATCTCGGTGCTCGCTGCAGGGTCTCTTAAATATTAGAGGGCACTGCAGAGATACTACAGACCTCACGGGAACCAGGTAAACCACTATCTTGTCCATTCGAATTTGTCTGTATTTCTTTCTGTTATTTCATGTCTTAGTGAACCTGGGTTTGGTTTAGGGATGGCTGTGATAAAAAGCAAATACTGTGCAAATGTCAGTGTGGAACAGGAAATGAGATTGTTATTGCTCAACCTCATGCCAGGATTTACGAAGTTGTGCAATGCCGAGTGTGGACAAAACTCATGAATAAGTAACTGTGGTTGAGGATGAGATAAAAGTATTTTTCTTTCATTTTTTGTGTATCTTAAATAGCTGCTATGTTATAACCTAATTAATTAATAAATGGAACAGTTAGGTATTTATTTTGGCTTAGACAGCATCATGAAAAAATTACTTGGGCAGCAGTGAAGCCATGAACTGAGAAAGTTTGGGAAGCTTTATCTAGTCTATGCCCACCTTATCAGGTGTTCTGGGGGGCTCAAGAAGTGTAAGATATAGTTGCTACACTTAGGTAGATTTTCTTGGAATTGGGGAAACAAGTCACTCATTCTCTGATGATGGTTTATGCATCTGAACTCTGTAGCAGATACTACATTAGAGTTCGAGTCATAAAGAATAGGAACTATGGTAAATATAACCCCTGACTTCAAAGGTATCTCAACTGGGTAAGATGGACAAGTAAAGCAGTTACACAGTTCTGAGTTACAGAGTGCTTTTAGAGGTAAATGTATAGTGCTCTTAGAGCAGGTACGAGTGGTAGTAGATCCAGGCACACTGTGAGCAATGGAGATGTGGAGCATTTCAGGGAAGGCTTCTGGAGATGGCAGTGCTTAAACTGAATTGTGCAGGAGGAGGAGTCGGCTCGGTTATTAGAAGAGAAGCATAAGGGGAAGCCATTCAAGCTGAGAGCACAGAACTGATCTCTCAGGGAACTGCAAATGGAATACTTACTTTGTGCATGACAGAACAGTAGTTTCACAGAGGCCGCACACGTGAAGGAGACTTTGCCATTGTCTTCGGGACCTTACAATGAACTAGGGAGTATGTCTGATCCATACATTGCCCTAATGTGAGGCAAAGTGAGCTCTGACAGAGCGCATCTGTGTGTTGAGGCATTGAGAACACAAAGGAGGATGCCTAGTAGGTGGTGGGTATCGATGCAACAGAAATTGAAAATGTTTCTTGGGAAAGTAGTATAAAACAGGCTGAATTTATATGCTTGAACAGATTGCAAGAACTTAGAAGGTAAATAATCAAACTCCCCTTTATTACTACCAGAAATAGAATGCCACTAAAGACTTCCTTGCACTAGAGTGACAAGGGCTAAGTGTCCTTTATGAAAGATGACCTTGGCAGCCTTAAATGTGAGGAGTTGGAAGTTAAGAATACTCCCTGGAAGTTGCTAGAATACTTGACATGCAGGAAGTGGGCAGCCTGGCCCAAGTGATGGCAGTTAAAATGGCAAAGAAAAGACAAACATTTTGGAGGGGAAAAGACTGACCCTGGTGACTGCAAACAGGGTATCAGATCAAACACGTGTCTGAGACATGAAATTTCAGTGACTAATAAAATTCATGTCACCTGTATCTGGGGCAAACAACCAATAATTGATCTTTTTCAGGGTGATTCCATTCTGAGTAGTAGTAAACAAAATACATTTTAATAAACCAGCAAGATTTAAGTGCTTTAGAGTTCTTTAGGTATAGCATTTATTGCTAATAATTTTATTTTCAAATAGCAAATATTCATTGTATTTATTTGCATTTATGAAAAGCAGAATATTTAAGTATTTTGGGGCTTCTGTTTTAACAGCTTTATAGTGTCATACATTTATTTAAGTGAGTGTGGTCGAGGACCATTATGTCCCAGAGAGATACTAATATCTGTGCTTCACAAGGTCCCCTGTAGGTTGTCGTACTGCTGGAGATTCTCACTGGGTCCTTTGTGCAAGGACTGCATCTTTCCTATCCCCAACAAAGTATCATGTGACAGGAGAGAAAAAAAGCTAGATGGTAAATGGAACGGAGGTATCATTGTATAGAATTTAAAAATTAAGTGACACTTTGTAGAACTTATTTAAAGAAGAAAAATCTTTCATTCATAAATCTCTTTTTTGAGTAAGGAAAAAGACAAAAGACTGTGAAAATACAACCAGCTAAATTTTTAAGAAAACTGAAGATAGTTTCTAGAAGTGAAAGATATAATATTGGAATTTAAAACTTAATGAGTAGAGCTTCTTATTCTACCCATTATGGTGTATACTGTGTGGGACTAATTCTTTCACACACACACACACACACACACACACACACACACACTCATAAAAGCTATACAAATGTAGGTAAAACAGCTTTGTGAAGGCTTTGTAGAGCAACAAATGCAGGTGGGTGGAGGGATTTCAGTACTAGAGAAAATGAAACTCATCAAGGTAAATTTTATAATCAGGCTTTAAAAAGCATTTTCTCTTTGGCAGCATGTAGAATTAAAATTCAAGCAGAAAATTTCAGTCTTATAAAAGTTAGAGGCAGAAGTTCAGGCTTTGCCAAGGGGCAGATTTTCAGAACAAATTCTAGGACAACAAAAATTAGTGTTCAGACATCCACCACTTCACAAGACTGGCCAGATCCCAAGTTGCATACACAGAGGGAAGACTCCTGAAATCCATTAACAAAAAAGGAAAAGTTGGGAGGCTAAGGAGCTGACCAGACACTTTCGGGGAAGGAGAGTTGGAGGCTAAGTCTTGCCAACATGGACGGGCTCAGGTAAATCAAGGGCTTTCACTTGAGAACCCCAGAGGGCTTTTCTCTCCAGAATAAAGGCTACAACCTAAAAGTAAGAGCACTATACAAAGGAGCATGTAAACATGTCCAAAAGCATGTGAAAAGGTGCTCAGTATCATTTTTCTTCCAAGAAATGTGACTTAAAGTCACGGTGAGATACCGATATATCTCTGCCCCGGTAGGAGTTTGACTAAAGGGACTGACAATACTAAGTGTCGATGATGATGATGCGGAGCAGGTTCACCTCATACATTCTTGGAGGAATTAAATTTGTCTACCCACTTTAAAAAACTGCAGACCCATCTGCTGATTGGCCCAACACATGTATACTCTGATACCCCTATTGCCACAATTATGTATACAGACATACCTTGGAGTCATCGCAAGTTCACTTACAGAACACCACCATAGAGCAAATATTGCAGTAATGTGAGTCACACAGACTTTTTGTTTTCTAGTGCATATAAAAGTTATGTTTATGCTATATCATAGTCTATTAAATGTATAAATAGCATTATGTCTAAAAACAATGTACATACTTTAAAAAAACCTTTTTTTGCTAACAAATATTAACCATCAGCTGTGCCTTCAGTGAGCTGTAATGGAGGGTCTTGCCTTGGTGAAAGTGCAGTATCTGAAGCACAGTCAAGTGAAGGACAGTAAGACAAGGCATGCCTGTACACGTCACAGAAGTTAATGCTCACATCCACCGAAAGATACGTAAAGGAAGGGATGCTTTATTCATAATAATCCCAAATGGAAATATTCCAAATATCCATTAGTAGTAGAATGGATGAATGAGTTGTGATATATTCATACAAAGAAAACTATACCAAAATAAGAAAGACAAACTAATGATATACTCTACTGTATGGATAAATCTCAAAAATGTGTAGAATAAAAGCCAGTCACAGAAGCATAAATACTGTTACTTAATTTTTATAACCTTTAAGAACAGACAAAAAGAATCTATGATCAATGATGGTATAAATCACAATAGTGTTTATTTATGCATCAGAAATGTTTCTAAGGCATAGAAATTATTTTTTCTTCACTGGGTAGTGGGTAAGCAAATATACATATAGCACTATACATTTAAGGTTTGTGTATTTTACTATGCATAAATTTGTTTAAAAGCTGAGCACAAAGGAAAAATAATGCAGTCATTATTGAAAATAGTTTTTTTTAATTATGAGAAGCATCTAAGTTGTCACTTCAGAGAAAATCTTAGCCATATTAGAATATTAATACCTATACTAAAAAATAGAAAAGATTGGGAAATAAGGTCTAACACTTCTAATTTATTAAGGAAGTTAGAAAAGAAAAAACAGAATAAGCCAAAGAAAATAGAAATAATAATGGTTATAAAAGATAATCATGATATAGATTGGAAAGTTTCAAAATACCGTACTTCATTTTTTAAAAGGCATAAAATTTACAAGTCTTTGACAAGATTGATGAATAAAGAGGAGTGCTATTAATACACATTATTAGAGGAATGAATAAAGTGACCTAATGTATATGCTGTACAAATTTGAAGTTACATAAGCAGTGTTAATAACAATACTAATTAATTGTAAAACTTAGATGGAATGAAAAATTTCCAAGAAAAATATAAATTCCAAAACTGATGCAAGTAGAATTAGGAATGCTACATAATTATATAGCTATAGAATAAACTGTATCTGTAGTTTTAAATATTCATACTCATATGTCTTGATGAAAAATAAATGTAGATACTCCCGTTCTCAGCAGATGGAACTTGATTTACCTCTCCTTGAGTGTTGGCTTGGCTTAGTTGTTGCTTTCAAATTAATAAACTGTAGAAAGGGAGAATATGTTAACTTTACACTAAAAAAACTTGGCGGTCATCACTTTAACTGAATGATCAAGGTTAACATCTTCACTGATAAATTACCTTTAGTGACACGTACCCCCTCGTACAACGTAATGAGAAGCATCTTCATCTTTAGTACTCTTTTCCAAAATCTATACCACCAGTCTATATTATAAAGAAAAGGAGACAGATCCACATTTCTTCAAATACCTGAAAAGTACTCTTCCCAAGTATCAGTGTCATTACAGTAAGAAAAACCAAAAGCCTGTCAGACTAGAGCAGAGCAATGAGATACGATGTGTGAGTACAGTGTTTTACCTTAGAGTACTCCTGGAACAGAGAAAACATTCGGGGAATCTTTGTGGAATACAAATAAAATCTATAGTCTGAATAAAATTATTATATGATGTTATATTAGGGGAAGCTAGAATAAAGATACATAAACTTGTTCAGAATAAAAGTTTGACCTTTTTCTTAAAACCTGTCTAGTTCAAAGGAACAGTTAGAATATTCGTTTTTATCTACTGCCTTCTAAAACCCCACTGAAATAAAAATTTTCTGAAACAGAACCTTCAGCTGAAACTAGAGACAACTGAGATCAATATACCTTGTAGAAACTCCAAAACTTTACTAGTTAGTGGCACCAGATACCTCTGGAAGTGGAAATGAAGATGAAACTTCAAATAGGAGGAAAGTTTAAAAATCTGTTTAATAAGCAGTTAAGTTCCCACTCATTCTTTCCAATCCTGGCAGAGGACTGAGGTTCTATGCAAAAAACGAAACAAATTTCAGGGTCTGTGGCCCGGGGATCACTAAGCGCAGCTGAAGATGCAGGTGCTATAATGAAATGGGGTTGGGAGGAGAGCAAGGTAGAGAGTTTTCTGTTGCTTACTGAAAACCTTAGCTATTTTTCCCATCCCAGCTCTCAGAGTGCTGACAACCAGACAGGAAATGGGAAGATTCTTTTCTGAGGAATCCAGACAGCTCAAGAAAAAAGACCTAAATATATTGGTATCAAAAATTGCCCCGAGGAAGCAACTCAGCCAGATTGCTCTGCTGTAAGATCACAGTCTACAAACCACAGCTGCATGCACGGAGACGTTACTCAGCATTTTCGTGCTCCCTCGTTAAACATGAGCAGAGAGACAGCCAAGTATGAAGAGTCAAGTTCTGTGAAAAGCAAGAAGAAAGCAGATGCTGTGGGGACGCGAAGAGTTTTAAAAAATTATCATTAACCTCATCAGCATTAAGAGAAGATTCTACCTCTATGAAACATTAAAACTTTAAAATATGGTAGAAAGTTAAAACCAGGAAGTTATAGAAGTCTTCCAGAGAAATGGATGTAAAAATACAAAAAAGAAAACAGGAGTGAAAAGATCAGAAAATTAGGCAATTAACTCAGGAGGTTCATTAGTTGAATCATAGGATTTTGAGGCAAAAAAAAACAGTGCAGGAAATAATTATTATAAATTATAACTATTATAAATTATAACTATTACAATTATAATAAATTATTATTATTAAAGGAAAAAACTACTAGAATTGAAGGACATGAGTTTCTAGAGTGTAAGATATGAATTTCTAGATAGGCCTATAACTAGGTTTGTCAGGAATATTTTGAGAAACAGCTAAATGCATAAAAGTTGTTATACAGGAAAAAATTATGCAAATGATGAGGAATCAGAATGGAATCAGACTCAACAACCTTTTTCCAAGCTAGAAATCCACACTTAGCGAGACTATAAATTAAGAGTGAGGATAGAATAAAGGCATTATATTCAGACAAAGGCGGTATTAAAGCTTTACCCCCGTGTACCTTTTCCCAGGAATCTGCTGGGGGTGGTGCTCTATCAAAACAAAAAGAAAGAATCCCACAGTGTTGAGAAGCTGGAGGTACTATTCCACAGAGATACAGTGGATCCCTGGAGATAAACCTGAGGGCGATCCCAAAATAGCTATTTCACGGAGCTAGAGAACAACCAACCCAGTTTGGAGACATCTCTCCAACATTAACATGATAGAATTTCTTGTATAGTTGAAAATAATGACTAAATACTTAGACAGTGAGAGTTTGGAAATCAGTTCATACTACACATTTGCTCAGGCCAGTATAATGTTGCTTTAGTAACACTGTTGTTTTTGAGCCCAAGTCTTAAGAGACCTTACATTCTTTTGCTCTTTTGCAACTCTATCCAGAGGCTATGTGAAAAGTCCTGAGCTAATCTGCTGCAGAATGGAAGACCACAGGAAGGAGAAACAGGCTGTCCTCTCAGTTCCATTCTAGCAATAAACAGGCAAGTCAGGCCCAGCAGTTGATTACAGACAGATACCTGGGAGAGCCCAGCCAAGACCAAGACAACTGTCCAGCTGAGCCCAGTCTAGGTGGCCAATGCAGCATCGTGACCTACATCAGGGATTACTGTCAGGGTTTTTTCTGGAAAGGGCCAGATAGTAAATATTTGGGGTCGAATGGGCCAAGAGGCTTAATTGAAAGTATTATGTAGGTACTTTCATAATGAAAAACACCCCCACAAATTGTTGCAGTTTTTCTCAACGAAACTAAAAATACAGTCCTAATTTATTTTTAATTTTATTGATTATGCCATTAGAGTTGTTCTATTTCCCCCCTTCATTCCTCTCCACCCTGCACACCCCTCCCCCACCATCCCCCCTTTAATTTATGACCACATGTCTCAAGTTCTTTAGATTCTGTATTTTCCATACTATTCTTGCCCTCCCCCTATCTATTTTCTACCTACCATCTATGCTTCTTATTTTTTGTACCTTCTCCCCCCTTCTCCTCCTCCCACTCCCCTGTTGCTAATTCTCCATGTGATCTTCATTTCTATGGTTCTGCACTTGATCTAGCTGTCCTCTTAGTTTGCTTTTGTTTAGGTGTGCTTGTTAATAACTGTGAGTTTGCTGTCCTTTCACTGTTCATCTTTTTTATCTTCTTTTTCTTAGATAAGTCCCTTTAACATTTCATATAATAAGGGCTTGGCGATGATGAACTCCTTGAATTTGATCTTATCTGAGAAGCACTTTATCTGTCCTTCCATTCTAAATGAAAGCTTTGCTGGATAGAGCAATCTTGGTTGTAGGTCTTTGGATTTCATGACTTGGAATACTTCTTTCCAGCCCCCTCTTGCCTGTAAGGTCTCTTTTGAGAAATCTGCTGACAGTCTGATGGGAACTCCTTTGTAGGTGACTGTCCCCTTATCTCTTGCTGCTTCTAGAATTCTCTCTTTCATTTTAATCTTGGCTAACGTAATTATGATGTTCCTTGGTGTGTTCCTTCTAGGGTCCAACTTCTTTGGGACTCTCTGACCTTCCTGGATTTCCTGGAAGTCTATTTCCTTTGCCAGATTGGGGAAATTCTCCTTTATTATTTGTTCAAATAAGCTTTCCACTCGTGGCTGTTCCTCTTCCCTTTCTGGTACCCTTATAATTCGGATGTTGGAGCATTTAAAGATGTCCTGGAGGTTCCTAAGCCTCTCCTCATTTTTTTGAATTCTTGTTTCTTCATATTTTTCTGTTTGGTTATTTTTTTCTTCCTTCTGGTCCACTCCCTTGATTTGAGTCCCAGTTTTCTTTCCATCACCACTTCTTTCCTTTGCATTTCTCTTCATTTCAATGAGTTTAGCCTTCATGTTACTCTAATTTGTGACTAAAATCAACCAGTTCTGTGAGCAGCCTGATCACCAGTGTTTTGAACTGTGCATCTGAAAGTTTTGCTATTTCTTCGTTGGTTAGAATTATGGGCTCTGGGACTTTGAGTTGTTCTTGAGCCATGTTTTGATCTGTTCGCACCTGTTACGTATGAGGAGCAGAGCCTTAGATGTTCACCAGGGCGGGGCCACCTAGGTCGCTGGGTTGTGACGCTATATGTGGGGGCGGGGGCAGAGCGGGGCAATAGCGGTCCCCTCTGCTGATTTCTGCTTCTGGGGCCTGCGTGGTCCGTCTCACTGCTCCCTCCTTCGCTGGTTTATCTGCGTGGGAATGTGTGACTGAGGTCAGCCTGCTGCCTTGTGCCCTCACTGGGTCTGCCCATCGCAACCCCACATCTGGGGATTTGCCAACCGCCGACCTTGTGCCTGGTTTTCCTGCACAACCCTGCTCCACCAGCCGCTGGCTCCGCCCCTCTTATCGGTCTAGCTGAAGGGTTCCTTGTTGTGGGACTTCGGTAATTTAATTTTCTGTGGTCTGGCTACGTATTTGTTTTATTAAAACTTTGTTGTCTTTAAACTTGGTTGTGCAAGAAGGCACAGTGTTTCCACCTACGCCTCCATCTTGGCAGAAGTCAATACAGTCCTAATTTATACAGTAATAATAATATAGGTCTAGTAAGAAGAAGAGAGTTTGTGGGGGGGTGGATTTTGCTTTATTGTGGTTTAAAGTTAGGTATCCCTATCAAAAATGGTTGTAAATACTTATTAATGCTGATATGACTGAGATTCAACATTCATATCATCTTTTAAAATGCCTTTCACACAGATACTGGCAAATTTTGATATCAGTCAATGAGTATGTGATTTTAATTGAGCATATTCATCACTTGACAGGCATTTTTATAATTATGGTTCACTAATATTTTCCATTTAGGATGTAATTACAGTGCAAACTACTTTTCATTAAAAGTTAGAGGAAAGTGTCTCAGAAGCACAATAAATAGGTTTTAGAATATGCGCATTTCATTTGTGCTACCGATGAAACTGTGGTTTGGGCTCTTAAATCTCCGTAGGAATGGAAGTCTCACTTCTCCTTTTAGTCATTGATGCCCAGGAAGTGTATAAAGCAGTTAGTTTGCTTGTGATTCAAACACTCATCTTCTATGGTGTATTTTCACAAGCACATGAAACTTTTTAAATGATACATAGTTAAATACATAAAGAATAAACTGTGTATAGAAACAAAAAATAATTAAAGCAGACAGTTGCCCCAGAAAATCTTTGATACGATAGGTTACTGTCTGCAGATCACAATGGAGTTGATTGCTGAGAACTGTTGGGTATTGACTGTGTTTATAATCCTAAACTAAATTGCACTGATAAAGAACAAATAACCAAGGCTATTTATTAATTCAAGATCCTGTGATTACGGGAATGTAGAGTCAATTTAATGGGTACAGTTATTTTGCATAACTGTACTTTAACCAATAAAGAGAACTTTTAAAATCTTGTGCAGGTATTTCATATAAGCTTTCAGTCCCATTGACATTCTCTGTGACTTGTTTTATTGTAACAGTATAGAAACTGATTCCAGTCATTCACTTTTTCAAAAATTAGTATGTAGAACTTTCTTCCACACTTAAAAACTAGTTATATAATTATTTGGACATGATTTCTTGCATATATTTTTAGACAAAAAATATTTAGTATATGATGAGAAACATAACTGAATGTTTTAACAAGCCAACCATAAACATACATGCAAATGGGTGTTTTTCCCTCCAAACTGCTTACCTTAGAGCAGCAGTGTTTCTCAGTGGGAGGCGATCCAGTGAGTACGTGTCAAGTCTGCTGTTTATCAGAAAACACCCACCCCTCCTCCAGCAAAGAATGATCAGTAGTCTGCGGTTGAGGGAACTTTCCTCAGAGAATATACCGTGTTCCAGTGGTGTGGCCGTTACTAAAATATTCTGGAATATAGATTTTTTAAATTGCTCATTTGAATATACTCATTGTGTCAAATCACCATTCCTTGTTAGGTATATTTTATTTTGGACTAATTCTCGTGACTCATTGGCACAGTTTAGTTCATTCATGGGATTCAATAGAGCATTCAAGCAGATACAGGCATACGCAATTATTTAATCATCTCCAACTAATTCAGAATTTGGTTTGGTGAGAAAATGGAAGGCTTTAAACTTTCCTTTTGCATTATATTTAAAGAGATTTGTTTACTGATCAGCACTTTGTAAGGACTGACTTCAGAGCCCTGCCTATCACCTAACACCAGTTTAAGAGGAAAGGGTCCAGGGGAACTTTCTCTGTGAGTGGTTCTTTATCAGCTGGAAGATTAGAAGATTCTCAAAAATGTGGACTGAGCACCTAATATAAACTCTCAATCCCCCCAAAATGTCAACTGAACATATTAGTAAACTCCTCATGTTTTTTTATAGATATATTCTTTTTATTTAAACTGAGCTTTTGCTTTCAAACATGTCTGGTCAAATTAACCAGTATGACCCTTGCTAGGTAGAAATTCTGATTGACATTTAGTACAGGACACATTTAGCTTTACAGCCAAATAATCCAGGTCTGCAGTGCTTGTGTGCACTTCTAAAATTCTGAAAGCTCTGAAAACTGATTTTTGTAATTCATTTGTTGGCAAAACCTAATGTTACCTGGACAGATGTGAAGCTATGATACTTTTAATTTACCCTCATAGTTGAATATTCATACTCTTCATTGCAGAAGTATTTGTATGATTTGTTTCAATGGCTTTATTAATATATGAAATATTTTTGCCTTGTAAAAATCTGAAAAATTTCAAATTCTAAATTATTAAGTATGCAACCAACAGGAGTTTTAATTGTAAATACTTTTATTTTAAATATAATTTTTTTCTTTTTAAAATTACTATAGTTTTTCAACTTTTCAAATAATTATGGAAGTAACTTAGTATTTTATCATTTTATCAATGAAATTGCAGCTTATTGAAAATAAAATAGTAAAAATTTTCAAAGTCACCATTATGGGGATTTTCAGATTTGTGGCTTAATTTTATATAGAAAAGAAACCTCCAAATTAAGAGCATACCAATATTAATGTGGCAAGAGTATATGATCAAGCAAATGATAAGAAATACTGTGTATATTTGTAAAAATATATATCACATAATAATCCTTTTAAAATGCAGAATGAAGTGAGATGTCATTCTTCCTCAAAAAACTGTGAAGATTAAATATAATCAAGTATATAAGATCACAGCCATTTTCATGGGAAATTTTTTTTTTGCAAAATGTCAAAAGCTATAAATTATATGAAAATTATATCCTTTAGCCAAAATGATTCTACTTTTTGAATTGATCTTAGGGAAATATAAGATACATATGAAACAAAGATACATATAGAACAAGGATACACATATAAATGCTACCCCAGTTTTATTCTATTAATAACCAAAATACCCATGAGTAATGATTGGTAAAACAAGCTATTATAGTTAAATCCTTGTAATCAAATCTAAATTATAAAAGAATATATAATAGCTTAAAATATTCAAAATGTATTTTAACTGAAAACGCCTTAGTTAGAAAATAGTATATGCACCTCGAGCTTCATCCTGCTTTACCCATGTGGGGTATATGTGTATTGTTCTGTGTTCATATTTTCTGTCCTTTGAATTTTTCTACAGTAAGTATATTCAGAATAAGAAACTGTTACTATTTCATATTTTCTGGGTCATATATACATATCTAAAATTAGCCATGACCAGGTGGCAAGGCTGGTTGGAGTGTCATTCCACGCACCAGAAAAGTTGTGGGTTCAGTTACTGTCAGGGCACATACCTAGGCTGTGGATTTGATCCCCGGTCTGGGCACATGCAGGAGGCAACCAATCCAGTCGATACAGTGTCTCTCTCTCTCTCTCTTTCTCTTTGTCTCTGTCTCTCTTTCTCTCTCTCAATATCTCTTTCTCCCTCTTTCTCTCTTCCTTTCCCTCCCCCTCCCCTCATCCTCCTTTCCCCCTTTCTCTCTCTCTCCCTCCCTCTCTCTAAAGACAATAAAATCATATCCTTGGGCGAAGGTTTCTTTTAATTAAATTAATTGAGAAAAGCTATGTAAATAAAAACTACAATGTTAAGAGTCCTTAAGAACAACAAAATGAAGGAAATACTCATGAGAAATTTTAAGGTGTTTTGTAATTGAGAGCTTGTCCAAAAAAAGGATGCTACCTATATAGATAAATAGAAGTTAAAGAAGTTTGTTTTGTGGAATTCATCCAATCAAAAAACACTATTTTAGCAGAAAATATTACTGCCGTTTGAGGTGTTATTTTTTTTTCAAAATTTTAGCCCTCTTTCTCCTTGTCTGAAATTCTGAAATCTGTTAGGTACCTGATTATTATTTCAGTAAAATGGGTAGTACCATTTTTCTCCCTAGATTTCTCATTTCAAATATTAGCACAGAGGGTGGAATTCTTACCTCTTATTCATGGTGTCCAGCTCTCAACATCTTAACCTGGCAGGAGGACCAAACGCGCTGTAAATCTTACCACCCAGACCACACTTGATTATTGTATGATGGGAAAATTAAACGTGAATAAAACAGCTCGAGCATTAGGGTGTTCTTGGAAGAATAAACACAAGTTGGAAGTCTTATGTGGATAGTGCAAAGTACAGGAAGGCAATCAATCATGTAAACATCAAATGAAAGGTTGGTAAGGAAGCCATTGGAGTCTGTCAGTCGCTCCCTGCAATAAATGGCTTATTCCATTTCTTTTCCCTTTCACTCAGTTTAGAAAAGTGCATTCTGTGGAATCTCTAACAGATCTCAGAATATTTTGTAGTTTCTTATTCCTGTTTAAAGACACGTTTTGAACAGAATGGGCTCAAACCTTTGAAGAGGGTTTTAGTTAATATAAAACGGACAGAGATTCTGTCATAGTATGTACTTCCCTGACCTTTTCCCTCCTCCCACAAACAGGAAACTGTTAAGGCAGCAATAATCCAGGAGCAAAAACGAAGTGAAAAGGCTGTGGAAGAGGCAGTGAAAAAAGCAAGAGACGAATTGATAGAGTATGTAAAAGAACAGAAAAGGGTAAGTATCTCCTGAAGGGTTTTAATTTGTGCTTCCCCAAACAGAAGCAGTAGCTTCCATACAGTAGCATGAAATGTTAAAATATTTAAAAGTCCTTTGTCATCTAATTTAGGAATATCTATCCAGGGTTATTTTCTGATACAATTATATATTCTGATAGTTACCTCTATAGACATAAATACCATCTGTCAATAAAAAAGCAACACTGAATAATTTCTTGCCACCCTCATAGAAATGACCTGTACCATTTTCAACTTAAGTTTACACTTGTGAAAAAAGGCGACAGTTCTAGATTATTGTTGAGGTAACCTTGGTTCATAACATTATGTAATTTTTAGGTCTACAAAATTGTAATTCAGTACGTGTATGCACTACCTTGTGCTCCCCACCAGAAGTCGCCCGCCGTGTAGATGACCCCCATTAGCCGTTTCAGCCTGCCCCCAACCCCTCTTTCCCACCAGTAACCACCAACCCAGCGTCTGCCTCTGTGAGCTTGTTTTCATTTTGTTTTGCTTTTTTCATTGCACATAAGTGAAGTTATATGGTATTTATCTTTCATTATCTGATTATTTTCAACTAGCATAATACCCTCCCTAATAATTATTGACATTGATCATCTTTTCATATGCCTATTACTACTTGTATGTCTTCATTAGGAAAATGTCTGTTCAGAACCCATGACCATTTTTTAATTGAGTTGTTTGGGTTTATTTGCCATTGGTGGTGTGAGTTGTATGAGTTCTTTGTATAGTTTGTATATTAACCATTTTTCAGGTATATGATTTTCAGATATCTTTTCCCATGTAGTAGGTTGCCTTTTCATTATGTTGATGCTTTCCTTTGCTGTGCAGAAGTTCCTTAGTTTAATATAGTCCCATTTGTTATTTTTACTTATGTTTCCCTTGCTGTTGGAGTAAAGTCCACAAATAACATCACTAAGGCCGATGTCAAGGACCTCACCATCTGTATTTTCTTCTATGTACTGTATGGCTTCAGGCCTTACACTTAATCCTTTAATCTATTTTGATTATTTATGGTGTAAGATAGTGGTGTAATTTCATTCTTTGGCATATGGTGGTTTAGATTTACCAAAACCATTGTTTGAAAATACCTTTCTCCATTTGATGTTATTATCTCCTTTGTCATAAATTCGTTCTTTGTGTTTGTGTGAGTCTGTTTCTGGGGTCTCAGTTCTCTTCCATTGATCTATGTGTCTGTTCTTCTACCCATGCCATACTGTTTTGCTCATTATAGCTTTGCAATATGGTTCGAAACCAGAGTGTATTATACCTCCAGCTTTGTTGTTCTGTTCTCAGGACTGCTTTGACTACTCAGTGTCTGTTGCGGTTACATACAAATTTTGGTATTTTCTGTTCTATTTCTGTGGAAATTGTTTTTGGAATTTTAATAGGATTGCTTTGAATCTGTAGATTGCTTTAGGTAACATGGACGTTTAAACAATGTCAATTCTTTCTACCCATGAGCATAGGATAGCTTTCCATTTCTCTATATCTTTAATTTCTTTCAACAATGTCTTACAATTTTTAATGTACATGTCTTTTACCTCCTTGGTTACATTTATTCCTCAGTATTTATTCTTTTTGTTGTGATTATCAGTGGGATTGTTTTTCATCTTTTTTATTGTTGTTCAATTACAGTTGTCCCAAATTTCCCCCATTGCTGTCTCCTGCCAAATTTCTCTTTCTGATAGCTCATGTTTAGTTTATAGAAATGCAACAGATTTTTGTATATTGATTTCTATATCCTGCTACTTTACTGTATTCATTTATTTTTTCTGCTATTTTTGGTGGCATCTTTAGGGTTTTCTATACATAAAATCTTGTTGCCTGAAAATAGTGACAACTTAACTTCTTCCTTTTCAATTTGGGTTTCATTTATTTTTATTGCCTGATGGCTCTGGCTAGTAATGGAATTGTCAAGAAATCACATCCTTGTCTTGCTCCTGATCTTACAGGAAAAGCTTTCAGTGTTTTACCATTGAGTATGACATTAGCTGTGGGTTTTTATTATGTTGAAATACTTTCTATTTATTTCCATGGTATTGAAATGAGATTTTTTATCATAAATAGGTGCTGTATCTTGTCAGATGTTTTTTCTGCATCTACTAAGGTGATCATATGATTTTTATTCTTCATTTTGTTAATGTGGCATATCATATTGATTTATGTATGTTGAACTATCTTTACATCCTAGAATAACTCTGTTGATTATGCTAATATTTTGTTGAGAATTTTTATATCTACAAGGGTGGGCAAAGTAAGTTTACAGTTGCAAGTACACAAAACACAGTGTATTGTTGTATTATTATTTGTTACAACTGTAAACCTACTTTTGCCCACCACATATGTTCATCAAATACTGTCTTGTAATTTTTCTTGTGTTTTGTCTTTTTGTGGTTTTGACTTCAGTGCAGTGTTGGTGACATCAACTGAATTAGGGAGCATTCCCTTCTCTTCAGTTTTTTGGAAGAGTGGAGGAGGATTAGTATTAAATCTTACTTGATTGCTTGGTAGAATTCACCAGTGACGCAGTCTGGTCCTGGACTTTGTTTTCTTGGAGATTTTTGGTTATTGTTTTAATCTCCTTGCTAGTCATTGTTCTAGTCATACTTTATATTTCCTCATGGTGCAGTCAGGAAGGTGGTATGATTCTAACAATGTATACATTTTCTCTAAATTTTCTAATTTGTTGGCTTACAGCTGTTGATAGAGGTTAACTGTGGTATCCATTTAAGTACTTTTTGTTTCTGATTTTTATTTATTTGAGCCTTCTGTCTTTTTTTCTTATTGAGTCTAGCTAAAGGTTTGTCATTTTGTTTATCTTTTTCCTCCAAAAAGCAGCTCAATTTTATTGATTTTTTCTATCATCTCTAGTCTCCATCTTATTTATTTCCTTGGATTTCTTTCTTGAGCCAAAATTTTTCAGTAGCATATTGTGTGATCTTCATCTATTTGTAATCTTTCCACTTTTCTTCTTCTAGTTGATTTCTATTTTTATACCATTGTCATGGAAAATGTACTTGATAGTTTTAATCTTCTTAAATTTATGAGACTTGTTTTAACATACTCTGTCCTTGAGACTCTTCTGTGTGCATTTGAGAAAACTGTATTCTGGTGCTTTTGGATAGAATGTTCTTTATATATCTATTAAAGTCATTTGGTTATATTATTAAAGGCTAAGGTTTCCTTTTATACTTTATCTGAATGATGTAAATGGTGTTAAAGTCCCCTCTTACTGTTCTGTTGTGGTCAGTTTCTCCCTCCGGGTTGGTTAATAGTTGCTTTATATATTTTGGTGCTTCTATGTTGGGTGCATTTATATTAATAAATACAGGGTCCGGCACAAATAATGCCCCCTTTTTATTACAAAATCATAAATATGTAATTCTGTAACATAATAAAATACACTCAAGTACACTCTATGACATTATAGGTGAAATGTTCAAATTAAGACTGAAAGTTATTATAATCATACTGTTACCCTGTCAACCACACTCAAACAGGTCTTACTTCTGCTGGAACCTGTACATGCCTTTCTGATGCATTGTCTCCGTTATCATTAGACAAGATAACTAGGTCAGGATAGTGTCCATCTTGACCTTTGTTACCATTTTGGCTTGAAATCCGTCTTGTCTTTGATAAACATGGCTACATCCACCTTTTCTTTTGGCGAACATATGCTTGCAGCTTCATCTTTCACCCATTCACTTTAAGCCTATGTTTGTCTCTAAAGCTGACATGTATCTCTTAAAGGCAGTGTATAGTCAGGTATTGTTTTATAATCTTGCCAACCACTTATGCCATTTTCATTTAGGGTAATTATGATATAGGAGGACTTACTACTGCCATTTTATCTTTTATCTTCTGATTGATCTGTATCTTTATTGTTTCATTTTCCTTGTGTTTTTGTCTGCCATTTTAGTTTGGTGGATCCTCTAATGTTTTTCCTGAGTTTTCTCTTTTTTGTTGCGTTTTATGTCTTTGCTCTAGATGGTTTCTGTGTGTGGTTAGAATGAGGTTTGTATAAAAACTGCCAGATACAATAGTCCTTTTTGTGCAAATAGCATCTTATCTTCATTTGCTTTTCACTCCTCCCTTTTACATTTCTATTTTCACAAATTATTCCTTTTTATATTGTGAGATTATCACTGAACTGCAGTAGTTGTAGTTATATTAATACTATTTTTCCTTTAACTTTTATGCTATAACCGAGTGTTTTAACTCCCTATTCTGAGACAGATTTGTAAGTTCCTGATCCAATTTATTTGTCATCTTACTCAAATTTGGGTGCTTATACCTTTATGTTTCAGGTGGAAGAGCTCCTTTCAGCACTAGGCAGGGCTAGTGGTTGTGCACTCCCTCAGCTCCTACTGTTCAGGAAAGCCTTTACTTCCCACTCATATCTGAAAAATGACTTTGCTGGGTACAGTATTCTTGGCTGTCAGTTTCTATCTTTCAGTATTTTGCCTATGTCATTTTGTCATTTTACTCTCTCCTGGCCTGCAGAGTTTCTGCTGAGAAATTTGCTGATAGCCTAATGGAGGTTTTTT